CGGTACTCTGGTGAGACCTCTTCTCTATCCTTGGTTAAGTTTTCTGCCCTGGCTCCCCAATCTCTTTAGGATGGAATCCAAATGTCTCTAGTCTGACATGTAAAACACTTCACAGTCTTGCTTGGTCCACTTCTCCATCCTTGACCTTTGTGAATAGTATAAGGACATCAATCTCTTCTTAACTTTGCCTCTAATTTATTGGTTTAACTCGTTTTTTCTTACTGCTTAACCACCTGAAATTCCAGCGAGTTTCCTTCTTCCCATCTTGTGCTCATCTCCAGTAAGAAGGGACCCGGTGGGCACCTCCAGGCCCTCCCGTCGGTGGCAGCCTTTGAGCCCAGGTCTACTGCAGAAGGCCAGGACGTCGTTCCCCCCCACCCCACCCCACCCCCACCCCCACCCCCGGCTTCCTTGTGAATGAGCATTACCCTGCATGCTCTTGTAAACTAGCCTTTTCTTTGTCCTGAGGATTAGATTCCTGGAAAGTCATCGTCTCGTTTATTAAGGAAGTCACATTACTCATGTTCTTCCACTTCTTACGCTAAGAACTGTAGAACGACAATGAAGCCTAAAGGTAATTTAGTTGAGCACCTTTTCCTATGCATAAACGTGTGATACAATTCTGATGGAAAAAGAGAAATTCGTCCTCTTGAATATCTCCAGGGACATGGACATCGTTACTCCTGAAAATATCTTCCCTTAACTTTAGAGGTTTGAGGTTTCCAGTTATCAATAGCTCTTCCTTCGCACAGACATGAAGTTCCCGTTGTAACTTCCACTCCTGGTTCTCAGTGTACCTCACCCCCAGCCAAAGTAAGTTTCTAAGCCCTCTTTTACAGAGGTTTCCTACAAATATTGGAAGACACTTTCCATGCTTCCTGCTCCAGTTCTTCTCTCTCTAAACTAAATCCTCTGTTTCTCTCACAAGTCCTCATATTAAAGGCAATGGGGGAGCTACTGGCTTATAGAGCTTGTAACGAGCAAGCTATGTACTCATATCTCTTCCCACTGAGTCCCATCACCTCCTTGGGGATTGTCTTCTGAAATCAGGTTACTCTCTGGATCTTAAATAAAAAGAATGCCTAACTAAAAAGGTCTCTGTGATATAACGACTAAGCAGTAAGATTGTTTTGCACTGTGAAACTATTTTGAAAAATTTTTTTTCTAAATTATTACTCAGAAAATAATTTTACTTTGAAAAATGTTATCGAAGAGTGCCAAGCCAAAGATGATGTGGTGCTGTGATAGGTCTAAGGAGCCTTGGTGGTGCAGTGGTTCTGTGTTGGGTCGCTAACCCTAGAAGGGGCCCTTGTAGGAGAGTAGAGTAAGCTGCAGACTGCCGATAGAAAGGTTGGTGACTCAGACCCATCAGCCACTCCAGAGAGCAATAGTCCGTTTGCACACAGATTGGAGCCTTCACGTTCTACACTGTTTCATTGGGCTGCTGTGAGTAGAGTCAACTCCAGGGTAGTAGTTTAGTAGGATTAAGTACTTTGGGAAAGTAAGTACAGTCCTTTTTACATCCAGAAAAGTCTTTGATTCCATCCCAACTCTTTAAATAAGTAATACAAATAGTGTTGCCCCTAAGGTTTGCAAGACAAATGTATCATGTTTTGAACATGGTACAATTCAGTATTTCCCCTCTACAGGGCAATGGGTTTTCATATATTTGGACTTTCATATATAGTCCTTGGGTCTATAATTCTGCCCCAAATGATTGGCTGGGTCACAATCTTACAAGGGATTTGGTTAACCTACACTTACAGGGGGTATAAAACCACCTAATAGAATTAAGTGACACTGAGGGAAGTGCTTGGTTATCAGGCACCCTGAGTGACTGTGGCCGGCCAAAGAGATGGGGACGGTGCTTCCTTGAAAGTGACAAGAAGTCGGCTTAGAGAACAGACGGTCCACACAGAGGTTGCAGGGGGGTGATCACTACCATCGAGAAGAGCCTGGAGCTGAGCACATCATGTAGACCCAGGGTCCCTGCCCAGGCACAGACGAGACTGAGTTCTAACACTGAAGATTTACAAGCGCCTACAGAGACCATGGGAGTCAGCGCAGCAGCAGGAACCAGGAGACTGGTGTCAGGTGGCTGCAGTGGGCTTGCTGATCCTTGGAGCAGTAGAGAGTGCATTTAGACAGGAAGCTAGCTGAAAGAGTAGGGTGCACTTGCTTGCAGAGCTCGAGTTGTTACATTTCTGCCAAGAGAAGGGCCACCTGCCTCAGGGCAGGGCTAAAAGAAGCCGAGAGCTGTCTTGTTTGGAAACTATGTAGACTGACGAACTACTGTCTCTTGAGTTGCAGTCAGTTAATCATAGTCCTGAGTTGTAGCCTGTACTTCCCTAATAAACCACATACTCACGAGTATGATCTATGAGGGGTCCCCCCCCCCCCCCGCAAACCATTTTTTCACAGCTATGTATTTAATTAAAAAACAACCAAACAAACAAAAAAACCAAAAAGCTCACCACTTTCAAAGTACTCTCTATTACACTTAATACATTTGTCAAATCTGAGATTCCATATTCTGGGAAACATTTTTCAAACTCATCTGTTTGGATGGCTGACAGCACCTCCCTCATTTTTCTCTATGTCATCAAATCGCTGTCCTTTCATTTCCCTCTACAGTTGCAAAAACAAAAAGAAGTCCCAAGGAGCGAGGTCAGGTGAGTAAGGTGCATGGGCCACAAGAGGCATGCTTTCTTTTTGTCAAAAACTGGTGCACTGACGTGGCTGCGTGAGCAGGTGCATTGTCATGGAGGCAAACCCAGCCTCGTCTGCCACAAATCAGGCATTTTTTTGTCACACATTGTTAAACAATCTTTTCAGAACCTCTAAATAGAAAGCTTGATTAACAGTCTGACCTGGTGGAACAAACTCCAAATGTACTAGCCTCCTCACATCAAACAAAAACAAATGAGCATCGGGTTGTTTGGGGGTGCCCTTTGCATACGGCCACTGCAATGAACTGCAATGAGAAGCAGAAAGTGCCCTTGCGGCATGAGAGTGCAGAGGGTCAGACATGAGGAAAAGTTGGAGAACAGCAGAATGCCTGACCTCCACCAGACCGGAATCGGCTCTGGGCGGATCGATTCTCATCCCTCTGCTGAACGTAGGCAACTGCGTCCACTAACGGATTATGTCTCCCCCAAGAACCTTAGCTTGTATTTGTTTAGTTCACGAATATACTTCTCCTGTGCTGTGTTCTGATGTGCAGCCTCCCTTGTTTTCCTCTGCGATTCTTTGTAGAGTACACTGACTTCTGTCCTTCAACTTTCTCCCCACCACAGGCCATCTTTTGATCTGTACCTTCCTTTGCCCCACCTTTCGACTGGTGGCCTCTTCTTGCCCCAAGACTCACTTCTTTGCCCATGTTGCAGAGCAGAGGAATACCCTTCATCTCTTTCACACAGGTGAGGTTTCATGCGGTTCCTCTCCCCGCCTTTGCCTGGCCTCCTATTCCTGCAAATGGTGGCACTGGCCAAATAACGAGTCACAATTAGCTAATTGCAGGCTCGCTGAGCCACTTGTTCCTTCACACTTGGCCGTTAGAGTTGTGTGATTGAGCAGAAATTCATCTGTTTAGCCCCTCCTGGCGTAGGGTCACAGCAAACCCCAAATCGCGTTTCCCTGTGTTTTTTTTACAAAACGAACATGAGCCTTTGACTCTTTTACTGCCGCCTTCTACAAATCACAGGTAGCGTACCTGGCATTCATATTAGACCCCAGGGTTATGTATCTGAATTAACAAACAACCAAGTAGACATGGCTTTTCCCCCGTTTGGCAAAAGATAAAGTGAAGACGGCAGAGCAGTTGTTTTGCCAAAGTCACACAGTCATGACAGGGACTAAATAGCAAATGCCACTTTCTCTCTGGGTTTATCACCCAGGGTGAAACCAACCTTCAACCTCATTTGCCTTTCAAGGAAAGCCCTCCTAAATGTTCCCCCAAATTGCCATCTGGCAATTTGTTTCAACGAAGCTACACCAGAGGTTCTGTCTTTCTTTTTAAAAATAAATAAAAATTAATATCCATTCCATAGAAAGACACAAAAACTCTGACAAGGCACACTAAAGTTGTTGTTGTTGTTAGATCTGACCCAGCAACCCCATGAACAGCTGAAAGAAACTCTGCCTGGTTTTGCATCATCCTCACAACTCAACAGTCATTTCTTTTGAAACGTGGCTTAAGTGTGTCTACGGAACTACCTACTCTCGTGTCTCTTCTTAATTTCTGTATGATTTGTTCTCATTCTCTCATTCAACCAACAGTTTTAGAGCATGAGACATGTGCTCAAAATTCACAGTTACACAAGGAGCTTGTCTCCCAGGGACATTTCTCCCATACACGACCTAGAAGAAGGAGCCAGCGTAATGAGTTTTCATTTCTGAAAAAAATCAATACTAATAAGTATTACACACATTTGCTCTGTGAGGAACCCAGACACTTGGAGGTTTCAAGAACTGTGCCTTGCAGTGGAGCAAACATCCCTGCGTCCTCCTCCCAGCTCTCCTCACTGGCACCTTTCACTGCGAAGCTCTCTAGCTCACATTCAGCTTCCCTTATGACTGTCTTAAGTGGAGGGGTTGGATGGGAAAGGACACCTGAAGTCACAGAAGATGTCAACTCCTGGTGTCACTCCTTGGAGTCTCTATCCTGCTCCAAAGGCCTTTTCCAGCCGCCCCCCCAACGTAAAGACAAGTAAAGCATAACAGAAGAGAGGGATCAGGGTTAAAGGCAACAAAGGGAGAAAGAGGGAAAGACAACTAGGAAAGCAAAAGAAACACTCAGGACTCCGGACAATGCTAAAAAGAGGGCTACACCTCCCGGAGAGCAGTCAACATTATCAATACAGTTACTGTCATGAAGAGCACACAGTAACGGGGTGCACCCGTCCACCGAGAAAAAGACTGTGCGTACAGCCGACGGGTGAACTGAGAGGATGCGGTGCAAGCAGTCGGCAATGAAAATGCTGCAAATGGTTCGCACTTACCCAACACCAGCAGCTCCACCGAGTCCTCGTTCTTGCCCTCCAGATCATCCGGGGTGGTGATGATACAGTAATAGAGCCCACTGTCTCCCCACAGGAGTTTTCCAATTTGAAGATCTGCATCTGTTCTCACAAGAACAAGGGCCCAGTAACTGGATTAATGGTTCCTTGGGGGTACAGTGTGGGTTGGGGGTGGGGGGGGGGAAGGAGTTAGCTAATAACAAGGAATATAAGAAAGAAAAAAAAAGTTCTAAAATCAACTGTGGTAATGACTGTTTAACTCTTGATATGATTGAAGTATTAAATGTATGATAGTTGGATTGTGTCCCAATAAAACAGTTTATTAAAAACAAACAAATACCACTGAAAGGGAAACATTGATCTCTGGGGGCAAGCAGCGGAGGGAGTCCTTCCTCAGTGTCTGCAATGTTCGATTTCTTTACCCAAATGGTCGTAGAAAAGCTGTTTGCTACTATAACAAGAACAAAAGTACAACCCAAACCGGCATCCCTAAGGCTGGAGAATTAGAGCACACCCAGAAACCAGTTTGGTTCAAGTCTAGTTTTAGGGGTCCAAGCTGGCTGAGGGCCAGTCCTGCTGGGGCGCCAGTGAGCCAGGTAAACTGAAGGCTCACTCTGGGGCCGTGGAGACCAGCTGACTTTGCTGGGGTGCTTCCACATTCAGATGATGCCTTAGACCCTGTCAGTCTCTTGGAACCTTTTCTGGTCCAAAGCTCTAGGAGGAGGAGAGAGCCCTCTGGGCCTTGGCGATGGCATCTACCTGGCTCCACAACTGGTCGGCATTCATCCCTTCTCTCACGAGAGGATCTCCTTAGGGAAGTGTGCTTTCTGGACTTGAGGAAGAGCCACAAAGGCTGATGTTAAGGCAAGGGATGTTTGGCGAAAGAAGTATTTTCACTTCTCCCATTTCAGTTTGGTCCTCAAAATAAACAGTGAGCCGCCCTACAAAGACCAATTCCAAAGCTCATCCCTATGTTTTCTCCAAATACACATCCTCCATCTTTACCATCCCATCTAAGCAATTTGCAAAATCGCGGATGCTCCAGCTTCCCATAAGCTCCAGGGCTGAGGGGCTAGAAGGTAAGGCACTGACATCCCCTGGTCTCTGGGAAAATGGGTCCCACCTCCCTCATTCCCTAGATTTAAAACAGGAGGCATTATTACCATGAACAATTGTGATCTCTCGGCCCCGGTAGAAATCTCCCAGGGTGACGGCAGAGCCCTGTTTCGAAGCCACCACTCGAACAGTCCTCCTGCTGTCTAGACAATCCAAGTAGGGGTCCCATTCCAGGTTTCTCTTGCTGAGAGGCTGGGACCGGGGAGAGGACATGCCCAAGGACTCTCCCATGCGATCTTGGCAGTAAGACTTGAACTTCCACTGCACAACTGCAGGCTGCCGGGAGGATGTGGAGAAGTGGCAACGAAGCACAGTCGGCTGGAAGAGCATGGCCACCTTCTTCCTTTCAGGAACCGTGACCTGAAGGCCTTCGGTCATGGCTGCAAAACAGAATCAGCATGTCCACATGGCACCCGTATCCTTGGCCTCACCTCACAGCCCCCCGACACTCCTCCACCCCTTCTCCCTAAGCGGTTCCTCCTTTCATTGTCTCCATTCCCATGAATGGCATCAATATGCCTCTGGCTGCCTCATCCAGAAAACTACCCGCACCCTTGCCCTCATATCCAACAGCACTCTGTCAGCATGACCTAATCTCTTTATATTTTCCCTCAACCTCAAGCCCCACCACTGTCGCTTTGGGTTCAAAACCACCGGCGGCTTCACAGGAGAAAGATGAGGCTTTCTCCTCCCTTACAGAGTTATAGTCTTGAAAACCCACAGGGCAGTTCTCCTCTGTGCTAGATGGTTGCTATGAGTTGGAATTGAGTGAATGGCTGTGAATTAAGTTAGGTTATAGTTCAGGTGATAAATCGGATTGCTCTTTCTCTCCAAAGCCCTGGGCAAGGTGTCCCAGGTGCTCAACCCTCTAGATCTAATCTCCACAGCCTCACATCTTATAGCATCTCTATTTGTTGTAGGAATACCAAACTATTCATAGCTCCCTCTGTGAGCCAAGCTTTTTGACATCTCTGGGTCTTTGCACATGATGATTCTTATTTCTGGTAAGTTTCCCCAGGGAATGCTTTTTCTATTTTTCAAACCCCATTCAGAGGCTTCTGCAAAGCCTTCTCTTAGCAGTCAATCAGAGGTCCTTGCATCTTCCTTGTGCCATCAGCATACAAAGACATTTATTATAATAATAATCTTATTTCTATGCCCATCACCCACATCACACTTGTCAGGCAAGGTCTGTGAGTTACTTATCTTGCTGTCTTGGTTCGAGAACACATAAGTGCTCAACAAATATCTGGCAAGTAATGACCACGAAGTCAGGAGGTATGACTTCAGGAGGAAGTGAGTTTCCTTCCAGCTGCTGAGCAGGGGAATGGGGACAGAGGTGACCGGGAGAAGGGGCTTTGAGGAAAATGAAAAAAATCAGATCATAAGCAATAGACCACGTCCCAAAGCTCTGAAGGGTGAAGAAAGAGAAAGAACGAAAAGCTGTAACGCAGGTGAGAATTTAAGTGGTGAACGGAGCCAGCCCTCGCCTTGACGTCTAGAGGAGAGGACGCTCACTGGGCCCGGGGGTCCAGGACCTGAGACTTGGAGGACGAGGACACCAGGGGCAGACTCCACAAAAGCAATGTTCCACATCCGATTTTGGTGAGGAGTGACTGGGGTCTTAAAGGCTGGTGAGTGGCTATCTAAGGTGTGTGTAACTCTGGGTCGCTCCCTGTCCAGAGGAAGGAAGAGTGATGACAAGATAAGACACATGGAAACAATTAGTCCAGTGGACTAACGGGGCACAGGAACTTCAGTCTCCACAACCCTGGGATCAGAACTGGATGGTGTCCAGCTACCACCACCAACTACTCTGACAGAGACCCCTTTAGGTATTGGGTAAAGCAGGAGAAAATGCTGGAATGAAATTGAAAATCATAAGTGAGACCAGGTTAGTTGGTTGGATAGAAATTAATGGAAGCCCCATGACTATGGCTCTTAGCCACCCTTCAGGTCTGGAACTGAACTCACTCCCATGTCTGGAAGGGGAACAATAACACTAATGATATGTTCCTGGGCAGACACTGCAAATACGTTTCTACCCAACCCTCATTGAACCCTGCCATGAACGAAGCACTATTATAACCTTAACCACTAGGCTTACAGGCAACATAGCCCACAGCAGAAAGACACCGTGGAAACCCAGCAGAAAGAACTAGGCTCTACCTCAAAACTACCTGTACCCTTGGTTTTGGGCTGAAATACTCTGATGGGAGAAGAAGCAAAGGATGGCCACCCCAAAACTGTGGACATGGCGGTCATTGGATCTTGGGTGAACCCCTGGTTTAGTGGGCATCCAATGAAAACTGAACCAGAACCACCATATAGTCAATACCTCAATGCTTCCCTTGTGACAAGTTTTAATCTGATAGGCAAGGATCTGCAATTGTAAGAAATGATACAGGAAATTTCCCTGAGCACCAACCAACACCTGCCCCCACCCCCATGCTCAATGTAAACTGAGCTCAATCAATTTAGAAATCAATCTGTACAAAGCAACAGCTCATGGATTGCAGCTCACAATTGGACTATACTCATAAAAACTCCTCATAACAACGTCTTAAATTCTGTCATTGCAATTGGACATCCCCTCACAGAAGGGTCACAAGGAATGGACAAGCCAACCAGGGTGCAGTATAGCACCAATGAAGCACACAACATTCCACTCATTCTTTAATGCTTTCTCCCCACCACTATCATGACCCCAGTTCTACTTTACAAATACAGCTAGACTGGAGCATGTACACTAGTACAGATAAGAGCTCTCGACACACGGAATCCAGGACAGATAAACCCCTCAGGAACAATAATGGAAGTAGTGAAGCCACGAGGGTAGGGGAGAGGTGAGGAAGAATGGGGGAAATAATCACAATGATCTATGTATAATCAATCACCCACCCCCACCCCTGTGGGACGAACAACAGAAACGTGGGGGAAGGGAGACAGTGGACGGTGTAAGATATGAAGAAAATAATAATTTATAATTTATCAAGGGTTCACAAGGATGGGAAAGTGGGGGAGGGAGGAAGAAAAGAGGAGCTGATATTAAGGGCTCAAGTATAAAGAAAATGTTTTGGAAATGATGATGGCAACATATGTACAAGTGTGCTTGATACAACTGATGTGTGGATTCTTATAAGAGCTGTAAGAGCCCCCAATAAAATTATTTACATATAAAAAACAATTCTTTGTGATTGGATAAATTATTGATGTTATCAATGCAATCACCTTATACCCCAGGGGGATGACTGACAATGTTTCTCTTTGTTTCTTTGGTTTCTATTTTTCTGCCTTTTGTTTGTTGGTTGGTTTTTGTGTTTGTCATAATATGACCACCAAAGTAAAGCAGAGTCATTCAAAACCTGTGGACAAGCAACTGGATTCTGGGCTCCCACTTACTTCTAGCCCCAATCCAAGAACACTTAGTTCTTAAAACATGGCCCTGCTCGATACTCGCCTTCATGAAGAGATCACTGAAGATAAGGGTGCTGCAGCGAAGTGTGGCGAAGAAAGCAGATGGTGTCCCCTATCAATTGAAATAGTTTCTGAGGTCTTAAAGGCTTTTATCTAAACATGCAGCCATCTAAGTGAGAGGCATCATCAACTAAGTCCACATCAAAAAGTACACCAGTCTGTGAGATCCAAAGGTGATGATAACAAAATCCAAATATGATGAAGGGAAAAGTATCAGAGCTTAAATTGTGAACACTCAATTTAAAGAAGGCGATGGAGGACAGTGTGAACCCAAAATCTATCTGCAGAGTATCTAGTCAGATTAAGCTTCTGGCAGATCCCCTCCAACCACAGGCATGGGACTTGAAAAGCTTTGCTATCAGACAGAGACTATTGTTAACTCGATGATCGTGGATCGAACCATGGGAGAATATGATACTTGGTTGGCTGACCTCCCTCTTGATTCAACCTGAATTTGCTTTAGGTTCAAATAGTTCTCACTTGTACCACAACAGAAATTTTTTCTCTGGCTTTTTAAATATTGATGGTGGTCTTTTCCTACTTAACTCTATTTTTGCCTTTATATTATTATTTTCCTCTTCTTGTTTTGTTTTGTTTTTCTTTCTTTTGGGTTTCCCAGTTTGCGAAGCACAGAAGGAGTGGATGCATAGAGACAATAACTAATGCAAGGGTTTATCAGGGCTGTGGGGAAGGAGGGGCGCAATAAAGGGAATTGGGGGGCAAACAATGAATGTGAGGGGTGGAGATATGCAACTCTTTTAAAAAGTGATTTAACTATGGAAATGTATTATATGTGAATATTATATCTAGAAAACTACTAAAAAAGAAGAAGAAGAAGAAACCAAATGAGCTATGGTTACCATAAGTGAAGGCGGAAGAGTTTTTGCTTAGGGTGCATTGAGTTTGTTAATGGTGGTACAACCCTTCTTGATATGATTGAATTATTGAATTGTATGACATGTGGGTGAAGTGCCAATAAAACTGTTTAAAAACCACTAATGAGGTATGCATACCTCAGAATAATCAACCACTTGAGATCGAAGAGGCAGCATCTGCTCAGTAACAAAGTTCAGAAAGGTTTGCAGAGAAAGAAGAGGAGATAGAAAACACAACAGGGAGGAGATAGGATGAGTGGTATTGTTTTGAGCAAATTGCAATGAATTAGATGGAGCAAAATGGGCACGAATTGTTGAATGAAAAACTGATGACCTGTTAAGGCTCACTCCCATCCACTCACAATTTTAAAAAATTAAGATAAATAAATAAATATACCCATGTTTTCTTTTCTAATAATGATGAATATTTATCTCAATTTTTAAAAAGAAATTAATAAGAGAGGGAAATTTCAATGAATGGAAGACCAGGGGTATTTCAGTGGTCAAGGGCCTACATAAATTCAATGGTAAGATCTAGAAATACCAAGCAAAGAGGGCCTTAATTACCTCCATAAATGGGAGAATCAAGGGTTTCTAACTTGACCTGAAGTTAGAAATAAAAATAGAATTAGGATGAGAGTCAGACTAAAAGAAATTATATCGAAAGACTTTATAAGAAGGCCTGTATAAAGAGACAGTGTTAGGCTTTGAAATAACTCTACCAAAACCCACTGCCATTGAGTCGGTTCCCACTCAGATCAGCCACAGTGGGCTTCTCACACTGTAAACCTTTACAGCAGTAGGAAGTCTCATCTTTCTCCTGGAATTGAGTCTAGGAGCCTGCCAGATTAGCTTCAAGTAGCTTGAAGTCGAGTCTCCTCCAGAGCAGGGGTCCTCAAACTTTTTAAACAGGGGGCCAGCTCACTGTCCCTCAGACCCGTTGGAGGGCCAGACTATAGTTAAAAAAAAAACTATGAACAAATTCCTATGCACACTGCACATATCTTATTTTGAAGTAAAAAACAA